GCAGGAAGGCAATTGCTTACACGTAAGTTATTGAAAGGGGATGCCAGTGACAAAAGGAGACCCACTGCTCACGGGATATTTAACCTCGGAGCAAAACTACGAAGTGCCATGGGGAAGATGCCCTAGCAGGGTGAGCGCCCCAAGCCGGCTCCCAGCTCCCAGCCCTCAGCGGCTCGGGCAGAGAGCTGCGGGCCCGGCCGCGGGCGGGGGCAGCAGGAAGGGCCCCGCAGCCCAGCCTCACCTTCTCCTTCTCCGCTGCGGGCGCTCCGGGCCGCGGGCAGGAGGGACGCGGCGAGGCAGGCCAGGGGCAGCAGCCAGCGCCCGGCCATGGGGAGCAGCAGGGCCCGCTCGGCCGGGCTGCACAGCGGCCGCCTGCTGCCCTTCTCGGTGCCTTTCTGGTGCCTTCTCGGTGCCTTGTCGGTGCGTGCTTTATCGGCCGCCGCACCTGAGTCACTCCCAGGGGAAGGGCCCGGGCCGCGGGCTGACTCACGGCGGGAGCCTGGCCCAGGAGCGCGCACGGCGCCCGCCCCGCCGGGCCCGGCACCCACGGACCCTCTGCCGCGAACAAACACCGCGGCGGCTCCTGCCAGCCCCGCTGCCCCTCAGCCGGGCTGCCCGGGCACGCCCCAGGCTCGCAGCGAGCAAAACTCAACAGGATGAGCTCACAGGAAGCCTGGGGAGGTGGATGGGGGCTGCCTGCTCGCAAGCCAGGTCCGGCCAACCTGCAAGAGCAGGGCTCATCTCAGGTGACCAGCAGGACTGGGGATGCAAACACACCCAAGATCAGCTTGAATAAATGCCCAGAAAGCAGATTGATTTGGATTTACCAGGTAATCATCAAGTTCAGGAAGTGCCTGCTTTTGTCCCCTTAGATGGGTCCTTGGCCTCACCTACTACATCATTTTTATGCTAGAAGAAGGATGAGGAGTGGAGACAGGGGACAAATGCTTGTCTGAGGCTGCAGACAGAGCCAGGAAGATGCCAAACTCCACAGCCCCAGGTCCATTAGCACTTTGTTCTCAAGGGTAGCTGACAAGCCACACAAGGTGTGAAGGCCAGTGCCACCTCACTCCCTGCCTCTGCCTTGCAGGAGGACATGACCACTTCTATAAGGGAATAGAGCAATCTGGAGGCAGGGGTTCTCCACAGCCTGCACGTCAGGACAGGCAGGACTCCAGCATATCCACCTGGCCTGTGAGAGCAGCCCATCAGAGGGGCACAGTGAGGGATGGGTCCTCATGCTGCATCACAGCAGCTCCCCTGTCTAGTGCCATGAGACTTCTGGCACAAGTGACTGTCAGTGGTCCAGGAGCACCTTTACACAGAATGAAAACACCTAACAAATTCATCCCCAGAGACACAAGTTGCCTTTTAGGTCCCCTTCTGCATTAGGGATTCAAACTCAATCCAAGGCACGACATGCTGCTCACTTGAGGCCTGACAGTCCAGGGTGATTAACGCTGAGCTCCTTGTCTGAGCCTCTTACACTGCCCCACAGCCTCCAGACACTCCAGACACCTGGAGCTGACTCACAGGGCTTTCCTCTGTGGCTCCTGGTGATCTCATGGGCGCAGCCAGCCCAAACACACCACATCTCTGCACCTCCCTTTGCCAACTGTACCTGCCTCTGCTGATTGAGTCAACTCACTTTTATAAACAGCAGATTTCCTTTTCATTTCACTTGCTGGATCTTAATACAGCTCACAAAAAGGAACACGGCTTCCCAAACACAATAGTGGCATGGTCGGTTTTGGCATCTGAGGTTCTTTTATCTGGTTTTCATTACTAATTTTCACGTGAGATAAAATTATTTACGGTGTTCCTACCAATTCAGAGTGCTTAGGATCCACTCATATCTCTATGGAGACACAATCCCTTCTGCTCTTAAGTACAACACTTGCCCACAACACCTCTGCTGTGTCCTTCCTACCTGCTGACAGCCCTCTGCTTGGGAAGGTCATCTCCAGCAGCATGGTCCATAACAGCAGTTCCCTTAGACCTCACCCAGACCACTTCCTTGGCTGACTTCTGGAAAACCAGCCCTCCCCAGGAGGAAGCTTTTCCCTTATCTGTCTCCCCCATGTTATCCCATTTATCTCACCATTGCCACCCCACCTCTCATTCCACTTGTGCAAACAAGGCCGTGACAGCTCGCTCCTCAGTCACCTCTGCTGATTGACTCAGACTACCCTCACCTTGCCATCTGCCACCGTGCTTCAAGAGGACCTCTGAAAACCACATCCATGAGACTGACAGCAATGTATTTCCTGGGGCCCTGATTTTCTAAACACATCCGATCTGCAACGAGCAGCTGCCCACCACCCTCCACAGAGCAAATGTCCCACTGCAACCTGTCCCTATGGCAGCACACTTTAGAAAAGGTCTCACACCAACATGATTTCCAGAGATGTTTTACCTTTTAGAGTAAACAAAAGTGTAAGTACAGGGAGGCATAAAGAACAGCTGTGCCCATCAGACACTGCAATGAAGCAGTTTTGTTTCACTGGAAAACCTGTCTTTTAATCTGCAACACAGGAAAAGTTCTTCTTGAAGATGTTTTATGTTCATTCCCAACAGAGCCAAAAAAGCTGCTCCTGCAGGCAGACCACTGTGGCTCACAAGTTCATCAGACCTTGACCATGTGGCTGTGGCAGAATTAACCACTCCAAAACCAGTCTGAAACAACATAATCTAAATTTTGCTAATGGTTGCTGGTGAAAAGTGATGGATGTGTAAAAACTCTGGAGTGGTTTTATTAACGTAAGCAAGGGAGAAAACCCATTTTGGTGACTTATGCCAGATGAACACCACGATGCTGTGAGCCTTTGCAGCCCAGGGCAACCCTTGCATCCTCAAGCCTCCATCTGATCTGCCACATCATCCAGGAGGAAATCCCAGAGGATTTCCTCACAGTGTGGAAAACCACTGATGATGATGCACTGGTATCACCAAACACCAGTGCAGCGATGGAGCCTGGATTTCAGTCTCTCCTCTGACATTTGGGTGCCCTGGGAAGAAGTCCTCATGACAGCCAGAGCCAGTGGAGCAGAGATCATTCAGGCAGCAGCTGCAGTGGGATGGGCAGAGGCAGGCAGGGATCATGCCAGCAGTGAGCAAGCGGGGCAGGGCAGCAGCAGGGGCACAGCAAGGAAGTGCTGTCATGTCTGGCCTTGCCTGTGCCCGGCCCAGGGAGGGGTGAGACAAACAGGGATGAAGGAAGAAGGCATTGCCATCCAAATGCATTCCCCTCTGTCCCCATGCCTCTGTGGGATAACTTTTACCTGGCATTCCTGATGTTTCTGGGATGGGGGCACACTGAAACCATCGAGCCATCAGCCAACTACATAAAATAATTAACCAGAACATGGTCCAACATGTCACAGCTGTAGATGGGGCGCATAGGACACTGCCAGCTCGATGTGACAGCTGTAGGACCTCCTCCACCTCCTCAGATCCACACAAACACACCAGAGACGTCTCCCTCCAGGCAGTTCCCAGCATTTTATAACCTGTAACAATATCTTGTCCTCCCCAGGAAGAAGAGGGAACCCAGCTCAGGTCTGTCCAAGCCCTCCCCACTGCCACCTTCTCACCAGGCCCCTTGTCCCCTGCCAGCCTCCTGCTTATCCAGAGAGCACATGAGAGGATGGAGCTTGAACCTGGGCAGTGAGAAAACCAACAAGGAACAGGGAACTGAAGGAGAATGAAGGCTACCAGCTGGGCCACTGCTCAGCAAGGTGCCTCCCCACCCGCCATCATGTCGGGCACTGGCTACACTGAGAGTATCTGAGGAGGGCATCTCTATTTGGGCTTCAAAATATCGGTAGAACAGGTTAGCAACCCGTAAGCCATTATCATATGGTCCCTTGGAGCTGGGCCTGCTCCTCCTCAGAACAATTTCCAAGTATCTCCTCAGGTTCCTCTTACTTTGCCATCCTCCTCTATCCTCCAGCATTGCCTCTGAAAACCCCACCAATGCGAGGCTCATCCTCCTTCAACATCATCTCTGAGACACATTTGCACAATGCCCAAAGAAACTTCTGGAGATAAAAATCCTGAAGATAAAATACAGGACACAGGCTTGCTTCCTAATCTAAGGATTTCACCTCAAAATGGTAAGAGGCTCCATGTCAACCTACAGCCCATGCAAGGTCAGCGCTGTCCCACCACCCAATTGCTCCCTGACTGCTCCCCACAGTCCAGCTGAAACCTCAGCCAGGTTTTACCAGCTGGGATTTGCTTCACAAAAACATTGGCAAGGGAAAAAAAAGACATATTTTAGAAAACAAATTCATTAGTGACAACTGAAGAATGAAAGGTCGAAAGTACACAAGCTGACATGCAAAATAATAAGAATTTACCAGCTGAGATGGGATTAGCTCTGATACAAGTTAATGAGACCTGTGCGTTTTCCTCTGCTGAGAAAAGTAACAGAAATCCAGCTGAAGCTGTAAGAAAAGTGTGAATGCAGAACAGCCTAGTCTCTTATCACTGCAATCTGTCCTTAAAAATTTGATTCATTCAGGCCAGGCTCTGGGAGACAGGACCCAGGAACAACAGTTCACAGTAATTTCAGCTTCTTTATTCACTTTTTTCCCCCTTTTCCCAGGATCCCTATCCTTTTCTACTGGTTTAGTAAAAAGGATTTTTCCCTTACAGCACAAATCAACTCCCCCCAGTTCCTCAGGGCTTTCCAAGAAGACAGTGCCACTCCAACAGCATCAGCACCAACAACACAGTATGTTTTTAAGCCCTGGAAAACCAGCAGCTTAAAATCCATCACAGCCATGGCAGTGGAGCAGTGGACACAGGGAAAAACCATTATCCTTGTGATATGTATCCCACCACATGCATTTCCAAGTTTCTTTTTCCTTTTCCCCATACCAAACCAGGTTGTTTAAGAAGCAAGAGGTAGAACAGTTGTCTCTTGCAACTGAGACACATGACCAACAATATTCTACCATGAAAAATAAAGTAATACTCAACAGAATTCCCAGGTATAAGGGGTTACAAATATTCAGACTTTATTATAAATAAGAAATACTGTTTTATACATAAAAACTGCAAGTGTTGCATTTTGTTCACCGCCCCAGACAGCAAGACCACAGATTAAGGCAAAAAAAGCTGGAGTGAAGGCACATACTGAGGGGGCCACAGTCAGGAATAAGGTGATGAAGGGATGTCACGTGTCACCCATGACACCCAGCACTCCACCAGCAGCTGTCACATCATCACATTACGTAAAGAAATAACTGGACTTATACAATGAATAATGGCTGTAATGCAGTACTGATTAACAGATCGCTTATAAAGATTTTTTTTTTATTTAAAAATAAAATTCTGTTAAAAACTGCTTAAGAAAAAAAAAAAAAAAACAAAACACAAGAGAGCAGGAAACCTAAGGCCTGAGGTTAGCCAGGGCATGCACACATCTGCTCTTCTCACAGCCTTGGCAGAGGTGATGTGGTCACAGCTATTTTCCCAGAGCGACCCAGTGTCCCTGTGTGTGCAGGCACAGGGAGCTCTCCTCCAGAGGTGTTTCCAGGCAGGAGGGAAATCCCACAATCATTAAGGGAAGTGATACAAGAGCCATGCAGAGTTTGCTGGGAACACCCCCTGCCCAGCAGCACTGCCTGCACCAAGCCTCCTGCCCTGCACAGTGGTATCAAGATGTCCCCAAATGCAGCTCTCTGACCACCTCAGCGCTGGTCCGGTCTCCCAACAGTGTTACAGCTCCTCACAGCTCAGCTGCAAAGCCACAGCCCCTGCTCCACTCCTGGCACAGCATCCCAGGGGACAAGGGACACAGGATTGGGTGCTGCAGGCACCATGGGGAGCAGGGCTGGCTTTGGAGACAGAGCTGGAAAGCATCCACCCGACAGGCAAAGTGGTTATGGATGGGTGCTGGGGATACAGTGGAGGGAAACAAGCAGGAGCCCAGCTAGGAGAAATCCCAAGTTTGAAGGGAATGATACAGAGAGAAGCGATACACGGTGCACCTGCCCCAATGGCTACAGGGGAAAGCACATAGAGGAGGCCAGGCTGTGCCACTCTGGAAATCTGGCTGAGTATATTTACACACACATACACACACACGAGAGACTTCCTCACACTATAATCATGATAAAAAATGGAAAAAAAATATAATCACATTCACACAAAAAACATAAATTTGAAATAATTAATAGCACCAGTGTGTGTCAGATAATAATTTCTTCCCCGCTACGCAAACGTACAAAGTTGCATAGTGTTTAAGGATAGCTATATACTGGATCTTAGGGAAAGGGGGAGGGATGCCAGGCTGGAGGCAAGGAGGAAGCTGCAGAGGATGCTCTTGTCTGGGAGCAGGGGGCTCCCCCCACTCCAGCAGCAGCGAGCACTGCCTGGGGAGGGAGCCTGCGGGGAAGCCGTGGGAGTGGTGTAAAGGCAGAGCTGCCACCGAGCCTGGCCTGAGGTCCCTGTGCTGTGGCAGCTTTACAGTGACTGGGAGATCTGGAGGCAAAAAGAAAGGAGGGCACCAGGAAATTCCAGCTCTTCCTCCTGGCTTTAAAACAGGAAAAAGGCCAGAGCAACGGATGGAGAGATACAAATCTCACTGTCCTCCTTCAGGAAAAAGAGGGGGAGATAAAAAAGACCTTTCCATTTCCACTGATGTGCCCCCTTCCTTCCCCACCCAAAGACATTCAGCATGGAGGCCAGTGCAGCTGTCAGAACTCTCTGGATGGCAGCTCTCCTCTTCAGCAGGACTCGTCCTGCTTCAACAAACTCATTGGTCTGACATTCCAAGCCCAGAAAACCAGATCCTCTGGAAATTCAGTAGCAACAGATGGGAATGCAGCTCGTGGCTTCCACACTCTGGCAGTCTGGACTAGCCAGCAGGTAGCAGCTTTCAGACCAGACCCAAAACTTCTCCACAAAACAGAAGTGGGGCTGGTAAGACCCACCACTCCACCAGTATCCCATCTTCCCAAAGATCCCTAATCAGAGGCTGCCTTTTGCTCACAGCAATGCCTCATCACAGAAAGCATTTCAGAAAGAGGCTTCAACTATTTTGCCAAAGGCTACCAACACTGTTGGATTGGCCACTACATAATGATGAAAAAAAATAAATTCACAGGGTTAGAAGTTGGGAAGAAAGATCTGAATTGAGTGCAGCTATACTGGCCATTACAGTAATACTTTGGTAGCCATCCCCTTCCTTCACAGGGACAAAGAGCTCCAGGACTGAGGATTTTACAGTCAAAGGGAGAAGACAGGAGAGAAAGTTGTGTTAGTTTTGCCTTGCTGTATACAGCTCACATGGTTATTTCTGAACCACAGTATAAAGAGTCCAGAGCATCTCTCATCCTTGCACTAATCAAAGGGAAACTGTGTCTGAGGAAGGGGCAAATGTGGAGTGCTCAGGAAAACAATCTATATAAAAAACCCCTTTGATGCCCAAAGACGGATATTTAATTTGCTTCTCAAAAAAAACCCCAAAGAAACAAACAAATAAAAAAACCCCAAAAAAACCCAAACAAAACAAACAAAACAAAAAACCAAGGGGAAAAAAAACCAAACCAACAAAAAAAAAAAAAAAAACTTTCAACTTATCCTGATGTGAAAGGAAACAGTGGCTGCGAGCAGCGAAGAGTTGGGGATTTGGAGAAGGTAACGTGTGTTAAGGCACTCCATGGCTGAACCACCACTCACCAGGGCGATTCCCCCCACCCCCAGCGCACCCTTAGGGTTTCTCAATGGACGGGGTGTTGAAACAGCCAGATGGCAGAGTCTTCCTGATGTCTTCCAGGTTGCTAATGTCCTTCAGGATCTCTTCAATGTCCCTGTTGTAGGCCTGTATCGCATCATCTTGCTTCTTGGCTTCTCTCTCAAGGAAAGACACTTTCTGGTCCAGGTCACTGTCTTTCATCTGATCTTTGGCACTGTTCAGGGTACCTTCAATTTCATTCAGTTTGTTCAAGTCCACTGTCTCCAGTTGCCCTGAAAAACCAGAAGCAAACAGGGAAGTGCATTAAAACCCCTTTGACACCGTGGGTGCTCACACAGCTGAGCCCAGAGCAGACCTCCATCAGGCCATCTCTAGCATCTGAAACAGGAACAACCACATGGGAGACATCTCCACTGCTTCTAGAAGTCTTCAGTTTGCTGAAAACCAACACAGACCACTGCTGAACAAGCTCTGAGGCTACTCAGGAAAGAAAAAAACCCCAAATCCTTGCCAAAACCACACAAATCCTATTTCAAGAGATAACAGATCAATCTAGTTCCTCAAACAATATTGGCAGGAAAGCCAGCACACATCAGGGAAACACTCAAAGGCATAGAGCACATTAAAGACAGTCCTACCTAGCTGATCCAACAGGTCATTAATGACAGTGAGCAGGCTGTTCACGGAGTTCTTAGCTTTTCTTGCATTGTCTTCTGCCTCCTGGGCAGCCTGTGAGGCCTGTAGGATATAAAAAAAATGAGAGCACAAAACAGGTGTAGGGATTACAAAACTGTGGCCTCTCCTCTGCACTTAGTCACCACATCACTGCCTTCTCACCCCAGGGTAACAATCCTGCACAAAGATCTTTATCACAGGGCTGGGGAGAAGACTGACAATCTTCAAGCAATCAGTTTTATGAGTATTTCAGGATGAGGATCCCTGAAAACTGAGCAGGATTTTACAGTAAAGGGCAGGATGGAATCAATAGGGCTATACAGTCAGGTTTTAGCTATAATAAAAGGAAAAGAAGCTCTCAAATTTCAGCAGGGAGCCTATGCTAATGCACCAGAACTTGTCTCCTTTTCAGTCCCACTTAAAGCTTGGAAGAGTCAGAATACTGGCTGGACCCAGTGCTGTCTTTGCAAGAGGAGAGCAGGAGGAAAACCTTCATTGCCAGGACAGCAGGGAGAAGGCAGCTCCTAGCCACTGCTGCCACTTGCCAGCAGTACTTACCTCATTTGCCATCTTCATATCCTGCTCAGCATCGGCCTGCTTCCGCTTCAGCTCCTTTTCTGCATCCTGCAGCTGCTTCATCATGTCATCCACTTCCCTGGCCAGTCCTGTCACATCAGCAAAGGTCTTGTCGGCTTCGGCTCTGGTAGCAGCAGCACTCTGCAGCCAACAGGTGGGAGAGGATGGAAAAATGTGAAGGTGCAGAACTTCCTTCAATCCTTCTCATAAAAATGCACTGATTTCCTATCTTGCCATATTTTGTATTTTGCATTTGCAGTGGGGAATACAGCAGAGAGCACACGGGGCTCACCAGGAACCACTGTAAGAGGAGTTCATGCAATCACACAGCAGGCTCTCAGTGGGGGCGAGCTGCAGCAGACCCACCTTCTGAACAGAGCTGGCAATCTTCTCAGCATCATCTGCTCTGGCCTTGGCCTCACGGGCATCAGCAGCAGCGTTGCCCAGTGCCAGCTCTGCCTGGTGAGTCTTGTTGTTGGCCTCTGCAATGGTCTGGCTGATGGCAGGGATCTTCTTCAGTGCCTCCTCGGCTGCTGTCTTGTTATCGTTCACCCGCCTGTCAAAGTCTAAGGGGGGCAAAGCAGATCCTTATCACATGCTCCAGAAGAGCCTTGGGATGCTCCTTTGACCAAGCTACCCAAGGCTTTGCTGCCCTGACATTGGAGGGATGAAGAGCAAACTGGCATCAGCTCTCCCTATTGCACATCTTCTGATGCTAAATAAGAAAGTTAAAAGGAAATTTCCGGTCCCTGAAAAATCTTATACTTTTTCTTTAAAGAAAAACAAGCCAAAAGAACACACCCAACACTCAGATAAGGGCAACAGTAGGGCCTCTTTAACCAGAATATCCTACTGCCAAGTGACTTGTCACCCTGGAATTGAAGGATTCACTCCAAGTGCTTCCTCTTTACCTTTCAGGTTCCTGAGAATGGTATTGGCCTCCTGTAGCGTGCCACTGCTCTTCCGAGCAGCTTCTTCAGCCAGGGCTTTTGCTGCATCTGCTCGTGCCAACAGCTGGTCTGCAGTCTGAGGAGATATGACAAGTATCAATGTATTCCCACTTTCTGAAGGACAATTGTGTAAGTGCACGAAAAAGCACTGTTAAGCCTCAAACAACAATGCCATCCAGAACAGCAGCGCTTCCTCTGAGACCAGATGAGTCTATGTACTTTGGGAATACCGTTCTGAGTACAAAGTTGACACCACATCTGGCAAATATCTCCTATTTTCCTACACAGCCTCAAAGCCATTGCTTTTAACCTCTTTCTGCATCTCTTTTTTGAGGCCATTCTTCAGCATTCTTATAATCAATAAATAACACTAAGACTAAGATGAAATCATTTGCATTTGGCCAGTTACTTGCCTTCCTTGTTTTATTTTTCCCCAGGGAAGAAAAGCCTGCAGAAAGTGGAACTGACCTGCTGCTCTGTCTTCCCTTTCTCCAAGAGGTTCTTTACTTCTAGCTCCTTTCCTTTCATATCTTCTCTCAAGTCCTCGTAATCCTTTAGCTTCCTGGCAATTAGTTGATCCAGCTCCTCTGCTTCCTTCTTGATCTTATTTGCTTTATTCTGCAGGTGGAAATCACACACAGAGATTCCTGAATGTTAAAGAATTCCTGAACAGGTGATAAATTTTTCCACCTCTACATTCAAGCCAAGACATCTGGCAAGCATTTCACTCAGATTTGTGTCCTTCAGAAACTGGGGGAAGTGGGGTTTATGTAGGTGGTTTTCTGCATTTACATCTCCTGCATAAATGTTGCAATTGCGTAAATGCTGGATTATGCCTAGATGGACAAAAAGCCCACAGAGCGTTCTTATGCAGAGAACACTAGCAGAGCACATGTAAGGTATGCCAGCAACCTAGAATACTGCACATGATGGTGCCCACATGTACCTCTAGCCCCGTGGAATCCACAGTAGGCAGGCTGGTGAGATTAGCATATATCTGCAGGGCTCTGTTTCCAGCTTCCTCTGCCTCCGCAAGCACCTTGTTGGCCTGTTTCTCTAGGTCTCGAGAAATATTCCTTGCTTGATTGTACCTAAAAAATTCCCAAGGATCCAGTTATGTAACAGTATTTTTTGTAGAACTGAACTTTAGTAAGAGAGTGGAGAGGCTAAGAAATCAAAAATCACCTCCCACAAAATCCAAAGCATACAGAGGATTGTCTTAGTTTTAAGCACTGCTCTGAAGTCAGGAAATAAAAACAAATTTCTGTTACTGACTCACTTCTGATTGAGCTCATCAATATCAATTGCAGTTTGGTTTTCTCCAGCCAGCGTCTTCAGCAGCAGTTGATACGCTTCCGTGGAAGTATCATTTGCAGCCTTGGCTGTGCGAACAATCTCATCAGCTTCCTTTTTATGCCTGATGGCAAAAAAAAAATAATGCCATTACATTTGTCAGCCAATAGTTTTTATCCTTAGTTCTTGATTATATTCTCTCTTACTTCTCCTTCTCTCCTTCCCCCAGATTTACATATGGGAGATGCTGAAAGAATTGTAATGGAAGATGGTTTCCATGTCTGTCATCCACATGAGCAGTGTTTGTCCTAGTGCTACACAGCCATCATCCCACAGCACCAGTCCCTTAAGCAGCAAAGGATGTGTGTTTCCTAGCCAGCAAACGAAATTCTGCTTCCCCCTTGTACAGGAGAGCAGGGCCCTGACATAGGCCACGATGAGTGTGCCCTGCCACAGCCTACCTTTCTGCCAGCTTACGGGCCTCTTCTGCCAGCAGAGTCATGTTGTTGGGGTCCCCGCTTTGCTCTGGAGGTGTAATGGACTGGAAAAGAGAAAGAAAGGGTAAAAAAATCCTTTAAAGCTCTTTTTTCATCTTTTATTCTTATTTGCTCTAAATGTTTATTGTCATGATCTTAATGCTTAAACATGTGTCTAATCTACCTCTCACTTCCCTGTATGTTTTTCTTAAGTCTATGCAGTTTCCACCACTGGTTATCCCTCGAAAAACAACTGTGCTAATATCTGTTTAAGACTTTTATGTTGGTCTGGGCTAAGATACTGTCTGTGACTGACAGTGGCGAACTTCACTAATTTCCCATGATCTTGATGCAAATTTGCTGTTTGAGGGAGAGAGCAAGTGGAGAAACACACCAGAGGCACAGAAGGAAAGGCCCTCAGCCTCCCCAGCCGTGTGGGATCTCAGCAGCACACTCACCACGTTGTCAGCTGCCATCTTGGCCTTCTCCAGCATGTCAGAAGCCATGCTGATCAGGTCCTCCGTGTCCTCCACCCGCACCCGGGCCTGCTCCGCCAGGCTCTCCGTCTCCTGCACTGTGCCCTGGATGTTCCTCAGCCTGTTGAGCTGACTCACTAAGGTGCTGTTGATGTCTTTGAGACGATCCATGAGGCCCTGATCTACGTCTGAAACAAGGACAAAAAAGAGAGGAAGCAAAATTAATTAGAGCAGGAAGAGAAGCTGGAGCAGCAGCTTACCATGGCAGGCACCATGTTGGTAGGTTAATCCCCTACTGGAAGGCAACCAGGCAAAGGCATTTCACAAGTCACTTAGCTTGAGATCAAAGTCATAAACAGAATGTGTACCAAACAGGAGAAATGAAAAGCCATCAACTGCTAATAAGACAACCCCACTGGGTGTTGGAACTGACTTTGATGGGACATATTGTGTTCAGAATCATGATTTACCTCTCTCATTGACTTAAAATGACAACAGAGCTGTTCCTCAATAGGTATGAAATGTCTGTTTTGTGAATTATCTTTAGCTTATCTCCTAGAAATTAAGCAGAGATGGATGAATAGTGCAGATGTACATTCTTCCACACTCAGGGTAACAATGGCTACTCTGAAAAAAGACTTAAGGAGCTCCATATGGAGCAGCCAGGAGCAGTGTGGAATAGCAAACACACTCCAAACTCTCACCAAACCAAAGGGCTGACAAAAGCTGGCAGGATAGAGCCTTGGTTCTCACATATGCAGGTCTTAAAAGGCAACCACACTTCACCAAATTTTTGGACCACCAGGTAACTCCCCACAACAGCATCTTAACAATGGGGGCATCACAGCACAGGTATGTGCCTCACAACCAAGGCAGTTACTTTTGAAAAGCTGAGAGTGTTACCAAGAATTAAAGTGCAAGCAGAAGCCCACAGAACTTAATCAAAATTAAGATTGGTCAAATTGATGTACTGGTTGAATATGAACGTTTTGACATATTTCAAAAACATACTACCACAGAAAAACAGAAAACTTCTTCAGGTGTGCACAGATTTTTGAAAGGGTAGTTTTTGTTGCATCTACTTTGCCCTCTTACTAAGAGAAGAAGCTGGAGCTGGGGAAGGGTTTGGAGTACAAGTCTCATGAGGAGCAGCTGAAGGAGCTGGAAAGGGGCTCAGCCTGAAGAAAAGGGGGCCCAGGGGGGATAGTTGTGCCTATCCACAACTCCCTGACAGGAGGGTGCACCCAGGGGAGTCGGACTCTGCTCCCAAGGAACAGGGACAGGATGAGAGGAAACAGCTTCAAGCTGTGCCTGGGGAGGTTTTGGTTGGATAGCAGGAAAAATTTCTTCATTCAAAGGGCTGTCCAGGGAAATGCTGGAATCACCATGCCTGGAGGGATTTAAAAGCTGGGTGGATGTGGCAATTGGGAACATGGGTTAGTGGTGGCCTTGGCAGTGCTGGGGGGCAGGGAACAGTCGGACTTGATCTTAAGGGTCTTTCCAAATAAATGATTCTATGATTCCAAGACAGAAAGCCCGATCAAAAATTCCACCACAAAACCAAATCCATTCCCTCATCTTTCTCCAATCCCCACCCTGCTACCCCCATATGTGGGACTATCATCTAGGCATTGATGCCAAGCAGGCAGCATAAATCTACCTCAGCTAAAGCTGAGAAAAGCTTAAGCAACCATTCTCACTGGCAGGAATCTTCCCAAGCAAATGCCAGCACTGGATGCGTGTTAGGTTTTTCCCAGCTTCACACAAAGGGGACAAATTTTCCCAAAATGGTCTGAAATCACTGAACCAGTTCCCAGGGGAACATCTTTTACTGCAATGTCAATAGTCTTCTTCAGAGTTCTCTTTTCCAAAACACACATTATCTTATATATTAAAGAGACCCTAAGGACGAACCACTGTCACAAACATGACAAACATCCTGCTCACAGACATCCCACGGAAGTGGCAACAACAGAAGAATCAAATTGAAACCGAGTTTAACAGGAAAAACAGCATTCTTCAGAATATCCTACACTTTATGGTGGGATAATTAAGTTTGCCATCAGGATTTTGAAGCCTTCATTCTGATTGCTGATGATCAGAACAAGAACTATTTGATCCCAAGATGTTGGAGCAAATTTAAAGCATCGTAAGTATACTAAAAAGTTTTCTGCTTGTGTAACAAGCCTTTGCATGGAGAGAAGAGAGTAATACATAAAACATTTCCATCCATAGAGAGATAGAAGCAGATCTTTACTTCCATGTACAACAAAGACCACTGGTCAAACAGCATGGATAAAAGCACAGCCACTGCTGTTTCGATAATATCATTCACTGACACAGTGCTGCCTGAAATTGCTGTCAATCCTGGATCACAGAACTGGCTTAAAATAAAACATGCTGTCTCCAAAGGAAACAGGAACATCAGGCAAAGAACTCATTTAGTTGGTCCATGTCTGATCAGGTCAACTCACCTTTGCTCTTTTGTGCTTCATGGAGCAGCTCTGTAACTTCTCTCTCTGCCTGCTTCAACCGCTCTTCGAAGGCTTCATCAGTTACAGTTTCTTCTCTGGTACCCAGATTTGCTATAAGATTTTCCAACTCCTGCAGCCTTTGACGTTGCTCTGCCACCTACATGAGAGGGACAGAGCACAGCTATGACACAGCAAAGCACCTTGAGCCACTCTGCTTTCAGCGAACACCAACAGTCATGGGCCAGAATGCTGCACAAGTGCCACCATCTCCAGTGGTACCAACAGCAGTCAGTGTCAGTGGCCTTACCTTATCTTTCACTAGTCTGTAACAGGCTGGACACTCCTGGCAGCCTGGCCACGAGCGGTTGTAGAAATAGTTCTCCTCACACTGGTTGCAGCGGCTCCCCACGAAGCCCTCCTTGCACTCGCAGTGACCGTTCTCCCGGCACTGCAGGGACCGCGAGCCCTCAGGATCACAGTCGCAGGCTGCAGGGGAGTTAAACCTCAGTCAGACTGCACAAGAGGCAGAAATACCCTCAAACTCACAGGATGAGAGGAAAGGCTTAATACCCTAAAACATCTGCAAGAGCTATGGGGGCACAAACCCGCAGCTGGACCTCCCTCCTGATCGCAGTGCCTCTACTCACAAGCAGGATCCAACATTCACTGTGTGTGTTCAGTGCTGCTATTACCTCTCCCACAAAGCATCATTCTACCCCACTGCATTGTAACCAACTGCTGGTTGTAGTTTTGCTGCTCTTTACAGACAGGGATATCAATGAGGAAAGTTTGGATCAACTTGCTTTGCAATCATGTTTACAAGATCAGCTGCTCCTCAAGACAGAACCTGGATACTGAGGCCACCTGCAGAGTAACTGTGCAGGAACACATTAGGAAACAGGGCTGTTGGAAGCCAAGATGCAGAGAATATATTTACACCAAGGAGAAGATGCACCAAGATGCAAAGAATATATTTACACCAACTTATCTACTAAGCTGGATATCTAGTAAGTTGGACAAGAAAAAGATAACAAAAGAAGAAGGGAATAAGCTGTAGTACAGAAATCAAATTTCGTCATGCACAGTGTGGGCAAAAAAGTGCCAACTTCTGCTGTGATGAGGAGCAAGGTGACAAAATACCTTCCCAGAGGCAGAAGAAAAGCAAAGGCAGGGCTGGGTGGGCAACATCCTTCCCATCTGCCTTGCTCTGGCCCCTCAGACTTACGTTTGCAGCCTTCAGAGCCAAAGCCGAAGTGGTTGCTCTCACAGCTGTCACACTGCTGGCCGGTGACGCCTGGCTGGCACTCGCACTGCCCCGTCCGGATGTCACACTGCCCGCTGGTGGAGCCCAGCGCGTGGCAGTTGCACCTGGGGGAGGCAGGCACACGTCAGATGTGACACAGAAGGGACACGTGGGGCCAAGTGCCTCCCTGAAATGCACAGCCCAACATTTACATTTGCTAAAAGCCAATTTTCTTGCTGTGAAGATGCAGCAGGCAAGGCACAGAGCTTTTGAACTATGCAAGGTCACTTGCTGCCTGCACTAAAAAAAGAACCCAAGAGCCCCTGCTACAATCATGAAGTCATGTGGCAATTTTCTATTTAAGATTTAGAGCTGTTTATAAGTCAGGCTTTTTGTATAGCCTTAGTAGCTGCTCCTTGGCCACTGCTCTTCCCCACCCACAGCAGCAGAGGCACACCTGTTACTTGTGACAAACATCACATTCCTGCACAATGTAAGCACAGACCCTCCAACACCAGGGTCTCCGCCCCAAGCCAAGCCAAACCTCACCTCTCACAGCCACGTCCACTCTGGAGGTTGAAGAATCCAGGCTCACAGGCACTGCAGTCCCTCCCAGTGACGTGAGACAAGCACTCACACTGCCCAGTCACTTGATTGCAGATTGTCTGCTGATTCACTGTGCCGTAGGGATTGCAGTGACAAGCTACAAAAATAAAAAGGTATGGAGAAAGATGCACAAAGTTAGAAATCCCTTGTGGTGTTAGTACTTACCCTAATGGGCCTAAATCCAAACCACATGGCCACCCAGCCCCTGCATCATACAATGCTTTTGCTTTGATAGCACTTAGTGCCCACAAACACAAGGACTTTAGCAAGCTCAAACAACCAAATCAGGGTAAAGCCGCACACTGACGGGCACAAGTGACAGCCTGCCAGCAGCTCCTGGGGACAAACCCGTTTCTAAAGGCAACAAGAAGCAAGTCTCACCTCTGCACTTGTCAGCGGGGTCAGAGGCCAGGGGGTTCCCGAAGAAGCCATCCTTGCAGCGGTCACAGTAGAAGCCGGCGGTGTTGTAGATGCACTTGAGGCACTCTCCGGTCTGGCGGTCGCAGTTGCCCACGGCATTGGGGTCAATGTTGTTGTTGCACTGGCACAGGCGGCAGGGCCTCACAGCACCATTTCTGCCCAGTGGGTCTCCGAAATAGGCATCATCACACAGCTCACACCTCTTGCCTGGGACACAACACAGACATGGGTGCTGCAGCAGAAAGCCCTTTGCTGCCATCTCACATAGATCCCCTTTGCAGTCCCTTCTGAAAAGTAAACTCTTCAGCTTCTTCCCTTTCATCCTTCTGTTAGGGCCAGACACAAATCGCTCCTCATCTCTAAATTCAAGCTGATTTTTCACTGGAACTTTGCAGCCTGAATTATTTCCATTCTTCCTTCCCCTCCTATCCCTTTAAGCCAAACCTATTTGCTGCAATTTGTTGTTAATTTAAGAATCCCAAGAGGTAGAGTTCCATGGGGTATCACTGCTCCAGGAAGCTCCTCCGCCAATGAGACCTGCCAAACCTCCACAGGCAGCCACTGAAGTATTTGATTCAGCAGCTTCCTACACTTATTGCAGATCTGACCTCCCCAGCCAATTATGAGTTCCATTTCTTAGGCAGTTCTTGCACAAACCAACCCCTTTTTTCCTCACATCCCAAGATGGTGGCATGAGACAGGATAAACTCTTTGGCAATCAGCTACAAGAAAGATCAGCTGCTACAGACACCTGAGCTGAAGGGCGCCTGGGGCCTGGTCTGCTTTGGTTCACAATGCAGTGGCACCCACAGGAACCCACATGAGCTGCTTATGTGCCTGGTCAGAGACTTTCCTAAGCACTCAAGAATTTACAGGTATTCTGTACTTTGGACTCTGCCATGCCAAGCATGAAATCAGCAGAGAAGCATGAGGGCTGCCAGTCATCCTATGGCTTCCTTGCTGTCTGCAGGCAGAACAAAAATTTCTGCTTAACAACTCAGCTACATGCTTGGACTTCACAGCTTATTGCTAAGAAAAAGAGATCAGTATCTGTTCACATATTTCTCCTTAAAATTACTGAGCACTAGGTTTGATCTTCTGGTTTTTTGGGCAGCGCTCATGAGTCACTGTAGCCTTCCTGCTCTTCCTAGGAAGCATCCTGTAGTGCCTCACTTGCTGGAAACTGCACCTTCTAATTTTATTTCAGTCTGACCTGCCTTCCTGGCTCTTTTAAATCTATTTTCTGCCCAACACCATGCCATCATCAGAGCTCTATTGGAAGGCAGCACAACTTTCCTACACAGCACAGAAATTGTAAGACTTTGCAGATAAAGCCTTTTGTCCTCAAGAAATAGGCATGAAAACATGTAAAGCCCCAAGCCTCACACAAGGACAGAAAATAGAGCTGAGGAAGGAAGAAGGATTTGAACCAGAAGACACAGCAGCTTTCAGAGCTACTCACTGTGGATCAGAGAACAAGAATGATCAGGAGACGCATTTCCACAATCATGTGGATGTAGAAAAAGATGCTTTGTGTAGGAACACACCTGTAGTGCCAGCCTGGCAGCTGGTGCACACGACCTCCTTGGTGCGGGGCACAATGGCACAGCTCGAGGTGCCTGGGCACGGGCAGGGCTGGCAGTCCGAGGCTGTGCCGGCTGTGGCATCGCCGTAATACCCATCGCTGCACTTCTCACAGTGCGTCCCCGCCGTGTTATCCCTGCAATTGCACATGCCTGCAATAGAGAGGGACGTGAGTTTTGCTTCACTGTCCAATCCAGAAAAGAAGAACCACCCTCTTGCTGCTCCCTGCTTGCTCTTACCCGTCTCGGGATCACAGGTCTCGCTGTGCCCGTTGCACGCGCAGGGCACGCAGGGGCTGTAGGGCCCGAGGCCTGGGGTCTCCCGGCGGTACCCAGAGGTGCAGCGCTCACAGAACTGCCCCTCGTATCCCACGGGACACGAGCAGCTCTCCACCCAGGCCACAGGCACGCCGGGTCCGGGGCGAGCACTCGTGATGGTGACATCGTCCAGGTGGCCGGCACCTAGAAAGCACCAAGGGGCAAACCCTTTGTAACCACACAGGCTATCATCACCGCTTCCCCAGACACAGCTGAACAGCACGAGGGGCAGACAGGGGGTGCTTGCAGTTGGTAAGACCAATCAAGACCCAAAACCCTCCAGGAAGGTTTAGAGAGATAAGCAAAGATGCACTAGAGCTCACCAAGGGAACATGCAGGATAGGAAAGCTGAGAATGACAATATAGAGGAGATTCTGAGAACAGCAGCTGAGCAAGCACAGACAATTACAATTAAGTTATATTTTACATGTGTATGGTTTCCATTTCCAAATCAAATACCAAAACCAATTCCTGGCTTTCAAGACAGAACAGACCATATCTCTAGCAATCTTAATACACCATCTGCAAACCACGCCTCAAGATAAACTCTTCAACTATTTCTCTCAAGCCATTCCTTCCTCTGGCATCTCAGCACTTCCCTCCTCTACTCCCAGCCCCTTCCCTGGAGCAAAACAGAGCTCAGACACAACATAGCTGACTTTTAACTTATACCACTGTGTCTGTACTACTGCGGCAGCTCTAGTGCACTGAGCAGAGCCTCAACTCCTACATATCAGCAGTGACTACAGCACTCAGGGATAGTTTGCTCCCCACCTTTCTCCCCTTCCATTTCACAACCCCACATTCTTCATTATGGGCCACCCCTCTGAAAACACTTGCAGTTTTCCCACCTTTACCAAATGCAAATTTATCCTTTGCATCTTTCTGCAAAAAATTTTCACCACATAGCAATACCTAAGGATCTACTTTTGCTTCTAATTCATGCTCATTTTTATAAAGCTTCATTATCAGTAACTTTTACTCAGGTCTTGCACAGGCAGCACTTTAGACCTTGTCCTTCCTATTTGTCATGTCAAGGCAAGATCCAGAAAGAGGGGGATGTAACCATTTCCAGTGTAGCAAAACTTAAAGCCAAGTGTTGTAAACTTCCTACACCTTCCTTCAGTACTCCGTACTACATATTTTTACCAACTGGAGGATAGTGGCTATTAAACAAAGAAAAATTCCCACGTCTAGAGCAAGGAATTAGCAGTTGTTACATGTTCAGCTTCCAGACATTCAAAGACAACACTTTTCTTTCCCATATCCTCTTCAGGAGGCCTGGCAGAAGACGCTACACAGGAAAGGCAGGTGAAAAGCCATTGGCAGAAGCTTTGCCAAATAAACTGCCACAGCTGTTTATGGCTGGGCCCTACAATGAAGCAACCCAAGCACTAAACAAATGAGTTTGCCCCCTCTTCTGCGACGTTCTGCTCAGCGACTTACTTCTCTCACTGTATGTCCCACGGATCTTGATGGAAGTCAAGTTGTGCAGAAGCTTTTGGAATTCAAATGCTGTAAGAGCAGGCCTCCACGGGTAATCTGCAGCCTCATGGAGCCTGGGGAGAAGAGCCAGGCATCATCAGCACAGCTTTCAGCTGCTAACAGCTGCACCCTCTCAAAAGTTCCCTTTGCAACAGCGCTGTGCTATTGCAACATCACCCACACAAGTTTAAACCTAATGACCTCTGTTTCCTCAAGAGCTCAGAGGCCAAAGGCAGCCCAGGCCAGGTGACAGCTGCTCCCACTGTACCTGAAGGTGTAGGTCTGCACATTCTCACTGGGGTAGGAGTTGCCCTGGGCAATGAGAGGCACCGACACTCTCAGCCCAGCCCCCTCCAGCACCAGGTCCTCTGCAGAGAGGCGCGTGTCTCGCCTGTCCACACGGAAGGAGAAGGTCAGGTTTTGCCCGTAACTCAAAACCTGGTTGCCCAAGAACTTGCCTGAAAGGGGAAGAAATCCTTACAGTTAGGGGACAGAACACAAAGGGCACAAGCAGCACAGAAAGCCATGATTTTACAATGACCTACGTGGTGCAACGAAGTACATGGGGAAGTAGGTGTCTGAGATAACGGAGATGTCCTGGGTCTCAGCACTCCACTGCAGCAAGACTTCTGAGCCATCACGCTGCTCAGCATGCCACTCATCCTCTCCTGAAGAAACAGATGGGCAAGAATGAACACCCTTGGAAGACAGAGATCTGCACACACTTCTCGTGTCACGTAGTTAATCTAACTGCCTGTGAAGGCACTGGCAGGCTGCAGAAAGCAGCTGTGCAGAGGAATTTAAACAGTAAACACCATCTTTACAGTTAAGCCTCTGACTCAAGTGCTGACTTGAAACCTCTGAACTCTGAACCCTCTGACGACTACTCGTCCAAAACCTTCTTTTCTAAAGAGCTTAAGCAAAGCTAGAAAAACCTGCAGGCCCCTACAATTTGTTAAGAGCTGCAGCCGTTGTAGGAACCGTTCTCCAGTGGAATTTTAATTAAAAAGATATTCTTTTCTGACTACGCAGCATGAAAACATGCATACACATGAAACATACTGCATGAAAGAAACAGCTTTTTCCTGGGCTTACAGACTCATAGGAAACACAAGTGTGTTTTATTCAGAGCCATGTAAACCCCGAATCTAAAGTGATTTTGATCCTCTCAATCACAAAGTCTTGACTTGGTTCTAGAAACGAGGAAATTATGCTTTGTCAGCACACCTCTCAGGATAGAAGAAGTTTCTATTTGCAAGTCCCACTTGCACCTGCACACTGTACAATAACTGTGTGCTCAAGGCCAGGGCTGTGAATTCCTGCCTCCCCATCTGAACAAACAAGCTGCAGACATGGAAGATCCAGGTAGCTTTAGCACTTCCAAAAGAGGGATCCTAGACCTGCCTGCCCAAGGTTTGTGGTCTTGCACAGAAAGGAAGGAGTTGGGGTTTTTTAATAGCTTCCGACTTGAATCTACCACCCAACCTGAGATACAAAGGAAAGCTCAATTTTACCAAACTCAAAGTTGGACGTGATGCTATAGATGCTGTAGCCCACAGCACTGGTGCAGACTGAAGAGTGTCCAAAACAGAAGCAGGGAGTACAGCCTCTTGGATTGGAGGAATCCAGATGGAAAAATCCAGGTTTGCATCTGAAGATGCGGAGGAAAGAAAATTAATTTCCCTGATGTTAACCCCAGGTCCTTGCTCAAATATTTTTCATTCTTGAAACAAAGCCATGGGAAGAAAAACTCACCTCTCACAGTGGAATCCTTCCACATTGTCCTTGCACGCACACCGCCCTGTCTCCACGTTGCACTCCCCTGTGCTGCCAGCAGCATTGCAAGAACAGGGCCTGGGGCAGTCAGGAGAGAGGTTAGCTCAGTAAGAGCCACATAGAGAAAGCTTTAAAAAAAGCCTAGCTTTCCTTTTAGAGAGCTGCAATCCTCCTTACCTGCACCCAGCTTCGGAGAGGGAGTGGAACCCTGGCTGGCACCGGTCACACTTGTCCCCCATCACACCAGGCTTGCAGCTGCACTGGCCATAGCTGTCGCACTGCGTGCTGAGGGAGCCTGTGGGGACAGCAGGGACAGCCACCTCAGCACACACATATGGCTCCATCAGCTACTCAAACTTTACAAAACAGCCAAGAAATAAGGAAGCAGAAAGCAGGAAGCACAGCCTCAAGTCAGTGAGTGACAGCTTACCTAAAGACTGCCTCTAGTTCACAGAAATTCTTCCCCTGGCAGCTCTAGACAGATGAACTGTTATCTAGTCTTCCCAAACTATATTCAGCCTTTTACTCCTACGAGCCAACCTTTTTATATATAAAATATAATTTTAACTTCAAATTGCCTTTTTCTGCTTCATCCTCAGTGCTACATTTGCATGCCTCCAATTCCACATCTGTTTTACTCTGCAATATGTAATTTCTTAGATTTTATTCCCTGAATCCCTTCTGCTACCCCTAATCAGCATCTCCGCTTTCCCTGGCCTCGCCCTTTCACACTCCAATTTCCTTCCTTGATTCCTAAGTTGCATTTAAAGACTAAACTGCCTCTTTGGAACAAGGCTGCACATGCCACTATGAATCCTAGTAAACTCATAAGCAAAACCCTCATTTTTGGAAGGATGTCTTCCTCAGTACTGCTCCATTCAAGTGGTCTTGCACAAAAAACAGCAGCTGGGTTCTTTAATCCATAGTGGACAAAATGCTTTCTCCCAGGCATCCATGTAGCTACCAGCCTCAGAGCTGTCAGCACTGTAAGAGTTAACTAGCAGGAGAAAAATATTTTAATATACAGAAATAGTTGCTTGTTTCCACTTCAATCCACACCAGAAGATTACAGCAAAGTGAAGAGTTATAAGATGATTAGGCTGGACGGGACAGAAGAACTCACAAAACCTTTACCATATACAGCCAAAGTTCAAATCCCCTTTGCAGTCCCACTTAGGATTATTTAGGAAAAAAGAGTACTTGACAAAAAATACCAATCCAAACATATCCAGGAGATTCAAAAACACCCTGGGTGTCAGTGCGTCATTGCATACAAGCTAATGGCTAAGCTATAAAGGCCTTTGGAAGCTGTCCTTAAAGATCTGAGAAGTCACTTCCCTGCATCCTTTCAACCATCTCAGCTCACACCAACCCATATCCCTCTTAAAATAGGGTCTAACAAAAGGATCCAGGAAAGCAGTCAGAAGAAGAAAGGGCCTTTATTGGTCAAAAATTTCACAACTGAATGACTCCTTGACAAAATTAGATAGGAGATGCACCCTGGCAGACCTCTCCCTGGCTGCTTTTAGGGCTTGCTACAAGCAAGGACTTATGCCAGCTACTCTTTTGAAACCTCACATCATATCTTACTATGTGTTACCCTTTTCCTTCCTTTCACCTTACTTGCTGTGGGCTGGTGTAGTTATAGGATCACTCCTTACAGGTTAAGTGGTTCTCTACATGACAAAAGATTTATTCTCCTGCCAGAATTACCCCGTCCCTGTTTATTTATAAAAAGTTTAATTACATATTTTGAGTTTACTTTGTTTTATCTCACCCCACCCCCTTTTGTGTTTAATGTTTCACTGGTTTGTATTTATAGTGCTTGGATACTCAGTAGGAGAAAATGATGCAGCAGCTAAAGTTCACTACAATTTCTCAGCATGAACAACTTCCAGAAATACCCACTCACATCATCATGGTTATTAAGAATTTAAATGAGTTCTTTAGTACTGGGAGCATCCAGGGTAACACATACACAGTGGAAAAAAAATCTATTTCAGAATACATTCAAAGGACTAAGTGCTGCAGAGGTGACCCATCTGCCCCTGCCACACTAACTCCACTTAGATCCAAGGATAACTTAAACCAAAATATAACCCAATAAACATTTCCTACATAGAAAAAAAAAGAAAAGAAATCCAAACAACCCTCCCTCTTTCTACCCCGGAGCTCATTTGCAATGAGCTGCATGACCGACAGAAAGAAGAGGTGGGTTTGGTGCGTGGAAGCTTGCAGGCAGCCGTGCTGGCAGCAGCGCTCACCGACGGGGTTGCAGCTGCAGGGCAGACAGCCCTGGTCGCTGGCCAGGCGGTAGAAGCTGTCCCGGCAGCGCTCACAGCGGGGCCCGTCGGTGTTGCCGGCACAGGCCGTGCAGTGGCCGCCGTGGCCCGTGGCGCGGTACAGCTCGGGGTCGAAGTAGCACTCCTGGGACCGCCCGTTGCAGTCGCACGCTGCAAAGACACGGCACTGTCAGTGACCAGCCCGTCCCCAGAGCACAAAACTCACCCGCACAGTTCAGCTCTGTGAGTTGGGGTAGGAGCTTTTAACCACTCCGAGACCTGAAACAAACTTGAGACCATTCTCATCAACGCCCGAAAGAAAACTAGAATTTTCTACCCCACTTCTTTCAACATCAGGCTGCCACTTGCAGCCAAAATGTTGTCCTCCCACACAGCACCACCGATCCCTGTCATCCAAACAAGCATGAAAAGGTAACATGAGGCTACTCCATGCTGTAATGAGAGTTTCTCCCCTGGATTGCAAATCCCTAGACAGCAGAACATCCCAATTTCACCAGCCCATTGAGGGAAGCCACAGACAGCTGGGACCTATCTAGACACACAGAGGTCAGACAGGAAGAAAACTTTTCTGTCTGAAAAAGCTTCCCCATAAAGTAAACTACCAGGAGCTATGGTCTGGGACAAAACACCAAGCAAATTGGTGTTCTGTGACAGAGCCCTGCATTTGGAGTCCAGAAATTAGATTAAATAATCAACAAGTATCTGTAAAAACCAATAACCCAAACACAAAAATCAGCTGATGCTAAATGAGGAGCTTTTGAAAAGCCAATTATACTCCAGCATAGTAAACTGAATTTTTTTCCCATGGGTCTCATAAAGTACAAGCCTGTACATTTCTGCAGGCCACCTCTTTCTTTAGGAAAGATGGGTGGTTCCCATGCTTCTCCAGAAAGGAGATGCCCATTCCTACGGATCTATTAGAAAGCTCCCACAAGGTAGAAGTGGAATGACCAACAGTCCCACGAGCTTTGCTTAGTGCTGGCTAACTGTGACTGAGACAAGTTAACAGAAGGCAGGGCCAGGCTGTGGCTCCAGCAGAGGCAGGGCCCACCCCAGCCAGGCCGTCCCCGGGTGCAGCCGCACTCACGCAGGCACTCGTTGGCACTCTCCGCCGTCGCTCTCCTCCACGGGCGGTCGTTGAAGAAGGGAAGGCACTTTTCACAGTCCACCCCGAAGGTGTTGTGCTTGCAGTTGCAGACCAGCTTCCCAAGCTCATTCTTCACACACTCACTCGCGTGCCCGTTGCATTTGCACCTGGTTCAGGAGAGGTAAGGAACAGCTATTAAAACTCCAGGGCTCCAGGTCATTCGCAAAGCAACACCAAAAAACAGATCCCACATCTCAAAATCTGAGATGAGGGAAATTTGAAGGTAAATGATTAAAACAAAATTGAGACTGAAACTGCTATCATTCAGCTTGGAGAAAAGGGAGCTTCATGGATATCTTATGGAGACCTTCTAATACCTAAAAGGGGTTTATGAGACAGAGAGAAACTTTTTATCAGGGCCTGTAGTGAAGGGACAAGGGGTAGTAATTTAAAACATCTTTAAAATTTTAATTTAGATTGGACATAAGGAATCAATGAGGGTGGTGGGACACTGGCACAGGGTGCCCAGAGAAGCTGTGGCTGCCCCATCCCAGAAGTGTCTAAGGCCAGGCTGGCCAGGGCTTGGAGCAACCTGGGATAGTGGAAGGTGTCCCTGCCCACGATGGGGGCTGGATGATCTCTGAAGGTCCCTTCCAAACCAAACCATTCTATGAAACAAAGAGGTACAGCCTGCTCTAGGTAGGCATTTGAAAGGGAAGACAGTTAACTAACTCCTTTGCAGTCTTCAGACTAACCTGAGTAGGAGAAGCAAAGATTTAGCTGGCTTTATGTTAGTAAACTTTCCACAACTTCTCTCCAGTGAGAGCCCAGAACACAGTGTGTTCACTGGGTGTGGGGCACTGTGGTATCAGTAGGAAATTAAATAGCACAAAGGTGACTAATACAGAAGCCCAGGGACCTCCAGACTGGTGGTGCAGCCAATACAAATCCACGTGTGGCCAAATCCCTGTCTCAGGACCCCCACGTGCAAGCAGGCCAAAACCCTGCAGTGGTCTCATCTCTGTTTATTTTATCATCAACTACCTAAGGTTAAAACATTCTGTAATAGACTTTGGCAAAAGGAATGGACAACCACAACCATGTTGTACCATGTTCCAGACCTCCAAAGGAGATAGCTTCTTCAATACACGTGAAGTAGAGACACAGAGACTTTCTACTTACTGTTATTCAAGAGTACAGACACAGGAGAGAATAATTTAAAAACACATTGAAAAAACCATACAAATCACACAGCAGAAAAAAAACTTTGTTATTTTGTTTTTCATTTGAGTTAATTCTTTTTACCATTTACCTTCTCAAGTCACTTATTATTTCATCGAATCAAGGAAAAAAAATTGATCTCTGCCAGCCCTGAAGTTATAGCCACAAAAGCTTATACACAATATTTGCAAATTATGCACAATTCATTCTAATGCATTCTTGATTTAGGACAGTCTGTAAAGACCAGAGCCTATTTGTATGATGTGAATACAATCAGTATCTTTAAAGCAGTCTAGTAAAACTAAACAAAAACTTTAGTAAGCACAGAGTTTTATTGTCTACTCACCTACCACCCACAGCAAAATCAGAAATTGCATAGTAGTAAGACTTGAGAACTTTTGGGTCATTGAAAACTTCATCTCCAAATGTGTTCAGACGGTTGAGGGTCACTCTAATATCTGTAGCTGTCACCCATTCCTAGAGCAGAAAGAAATCCCATCAGATGAAACATCCTTTCCCTTGAGAAAGTACCAGTCATTAGCAGTTCAATTACCAAAGTCATTCCTCAGCAGCTGGCTCCTTCTTCATTATTTTCCCCTCTGCACCTCGGGAGCTCACACACTCCTGCCCCAGAAGCCTTATGCCACATCCTCTTAGTTCAAATGGGTTTTCCTGACCCCTTCTCCTCTCTGGAGACCCTTTCCAATGCCTCTTCACACCCTGACTGCTTTCAGCTGGGAAGCACTGAATAACCTCTCCAGCAAAAAGTGCAGGGCAGGCAATTATGCCAGCTTGCTAATTGTACTTGTCTGTCTGGCTGTAGTTTTCCTGCAAAGCTATACAGCACCAATGGGAAAATCTTTAGGGTACATTTGTCTGCAGGCATATTGCACTAGACTAAAAGATACAGACAGACAAATGAGTGAGGCTGGGGAGGCAGACGAAGACAGACAGATCTGACTTGTAACACAAGAGTTTTTCATAATATTTACACAGTGTCTGTAACACACTGCCCTGGCCTCATGCAGCAGCAGCCAGCACAAACAGCCTGTTGCCAAATTTCATATCACATTCTGCCAGCCACTGACATTGGCACCTCCTTGGTTTTATTATACCCTTTACAAAGCTGTTTTCCTTCAAACACCATAAAAAAGAACACAAAGAAACATTCCTGTATGTACAACAGTGCAGCACCTGTGTCACTGCTCAGCCAGTAACACAGTATTTATTTACTGAATTATAAACACATGGAAATACCAACCACAATGTACACATTTACTTCAGTTCTAAAAAGCAACAGCAGGAGTTGGTATGTATTTTAGGAAACTGGTGGTCAGATCTCTATTCCTTACATAGAGAAGCTTATCAGAAAAATGATACAACTGCTAACTTGAAATCTCCTTATTCACCTTAACGATAAGACATGGTTTTCTGCAAGGGTTGGCTACACCAATGAGGTGGCCAAACTGGTTTTTTTCCATTTCAGAAAGTCTTTGTCCTTTCCCATTAATCTTATTTTTTAATTTCACTTTAGTTTGCAGAAGCAACTCCACTAGGTTCTGCTCTCCTGCCTGGGAATTGGAAACAGGCAAGCCCTGAGCCTGCTGGGTACCTGTCTCAGACAACTCCTGCTACTCTAAGAGCAAAGGGAAGTGATGGTAAATCACAGCTCTGAAAGGAAGACAACGAGCCCCAGTGAAGCAAACCCCACAGCTTTAGCTCCTTGTTGCAATAGAAACTGCAGAAGTCATCAAGCAGAACACAAAACTGGCAAGTAAATCAGACAAACTGGTGCTCTAGCATGCTCCTGACCACTGCCCAACCACTCCTGTGAATGCAAAAGAAACATTCAAGAATGTTCAACAACAAAAAACCCTGCCAAAACCCCTTGCCAAGCCATCTGTAAGAGAAAAACCAAGGATAAAATCAAACTTCTCTGCTTCAACACACATGTAAGAGTAGATGGTAGGGATTCCTGTAATGCTTTATGTATTTAGAAGAATCTTAAATTTCTCACTTTTTTCTGCTTGAAATATACATGCAGATGCCTCAAATATTAACTGGACTTAGACTTTACCTTCCTCTGTCCTTGTATCAACAGCAGAATGTCCACAGCTGCTTCCTACGCTGGCAGAGATTTACATTCATCCTTTGAATGTAAATGATCCCCAGTGACATATCACCCTTAAAGCCAGTGGGTTTGCTTTTTTGTACCATAAACTTACTATCAACAGACTCCAGAGTTCAACTCTTCCTTCAAAAGCACCTCTGTGGATTGTCCATCCCAACTCAGCTGTGCAAGGGCCTTTCACTACGAGTAAGGGCTGTAGTGCAGCCCAGTGAGCACAAAGCCACCATGCAGAGTGACCCAACAGGAAGACTCAACTCAGACCACCTGACCGACATAGTCCTGCTCACACACCTGCAGCACAGGGCTGTTGTCAAAGTTGTAGGCACTGGGCCGCCCCTCCAGCGTTGAGAAGGCCACATTGCCTCCGGTGAGAGGGGAGATGTCGCTGAACTCATCGGTGCAGAGCGCCTGCTGCTCGTCCTCGCCAGTGCGGATGAAGCCACGGTTGATTTTGTGGTAGGTGCTCTCACAGGACCCACTGTAGTACTGGTAGGGCACCCAAGGGCCGTCCTCCTTTGTGCGCTTGTAGATGGCAAAGCTCTCGGGCCGGCTCGTGTGGAACTTGAGGCGCACGTACGTGATGTCAAAGGCTTTTCCTGTGGGGGAGAGGAGACACGAGAAAGACTCAAAACTGAGGAAGAATGGAAAGAGCTGCACTGCATTTCTCCCTCTGGAGAAACATCTCCCAGCACTATCCAGAAGGATGAGCATGTCCAGCAACACCAGAAGTATCTCTTCCAGGCCAGTATAGTATCTCCAAGCAAAGACAAGGTGAATGAACTGAAAGCAGAAGCTGAGTGCAGGCTGAATACATAAAGAGACCTGTAAGCTTCTGTGCAACCAAACACATTTCAGAAGCTGCAATTCTCTTCCACATACATCCCTAACAGATGACAGACTACATCAGAACCATGAGTAGTTTGTGTGTATTTAAGGCCAGGCCCAAGTTAATAATGACATTTGATTATATTTCTCCCAAACATATGCATGGGAGAAACAGTATTAACCAGAGAGGAACAAGTCACACTGTAGAGCCTGGTTTGTACCTCTGCTTCTTCCCTACATAGACAATACCTCAATCTCAAAAAGCTTTTCCTGATGCATTGAACCTACTGACTACAGCCCTCTTCTACTCATTCCTTGGGAAAAACAAAATGAGGTTTAAGTTTCCCGCACCATTTGACTAAAATCACCAAGGCATTTTACAGATCAGAGTGCAATAATTTCCAAGCTACCCATGTTCTCCATCGCCTAGCATGAAAGAAAATCCACCTCCTTGCCCTCTGTTGTATAAATTATATCCTCCTAACCAGTCTGTGGCAGTTAGCACATCATCCTCCCTCATGACTCTTCTCCAGTGACTTGAGCATCTACTCCCAGACACATAAACCAACTGCCCAGGGTAGTCACATCCCTGAGAGAACCCATTAGGAGAAAAGGACCACAACACTCTTCAGCCACCTTCGTCTGCTTTCTACACAGGCCAAGGGTTCCCAGGAGCAGGCATACAGCTGTATACCAGCTGTTCTTGCTCCACTTCAGCAAGCAGACTGTGTACAATTAGGACATCCTGGAGCATGTAGGGAGTTTGCTAAAACAACGTTGAATTTGTTTGGAATAAAACCTTGGGTGTTTAGTCCCCGCCATGCTTTTTTATGCTCCCACCACTTCCAAGAAAAACAGTGCTCTAAGCAGAACTTGCAGCCGTCACCGGTTCTTTTGTTGATCCAAAAAAAAAGCTACTAGAAGAGTTTCAGTTGGTTGAGAAACAGGTTTTTTCAACCTGCAAAAGTCACACAGATTTAACCTCAACTTATAAAATGAATGAATTGTACCATGTTAAATTTTAACAGGAGACTTGGCACTTGTTGAAGTGTTCAGCTCCTTCACACGTGAGAGCAGACCAGAGGCACCACGCACCAAGAACAGAGTGTCCTCAAAGAACACACGCACACACCGACAGCCGTGAGTTAGGTCACGAACCACGGAGCTGCCCTGAAGGCCCCCCAGTGATTAGGCCAGGGGCCAGCCCGCATTAGGCATGCTGCACCCAAAGTCTGTATGGCACAAGGGAGGAGCCAAAGTAGCAGGAGAAGCACAGCAAAGGGTCCAGAAACCAACATACCTGAAAAAAAATAAAGTAAAAATCAACATATTCAGCACCTGAAAAATTATATCCTCCAATGTGTTAGCCTGGCACATCCTGGTTTTTGGTAACAGGGGGGCCCACAGGGGAAGCTTCTATGAGAAGCTGCTAGAAGCTTCCACTGTGTCCAACAGAGAGCCAATCTCTGGAGATGGACATGCTGCTGGCCCCATCAGAGCGGCTGGTAATGCCTCTGTGATGACATATTTAAGAAGAAAATCAAAACCACACATGCACTGTTTGTTTTTCCAGGGCTGGTGAAGCGCTGCTGCTGGGGGCCAACCCTGGCATGGCACGTGGCAATGCACTGTGGCCGTCCCCGCCATCATTTGGGCAACCTACAGCGAGCCCTGCCCGCCTGGCCGCCCCGCCAGCCGTGCTGCGGCAGAAGGGCAGGCAGGGGTGGCAGCTGCTCCTGCCGGCGCCCCGCATCAACAGAGGCCTCAAACTGCACCAGCGCCACGGCGGCCGCTGCCCACACGGCCGGGCTGCTCGGCCGGCAGGGGAAGCGTGAGGAGCAATTTCCCCAACATGGAACCTGGAGGAGATCGACTTCTCGGCACTGCGGGATCTCACAGGAATCTTTGAATCAGTGGAACTTGTTGGCAGTGGTACCTACAAGCAGCAGTTTTTGTTCTACTCAGAGAAGAGGAGGAAATGAGACACGTGAGGGAAAACAACATGGTGACAGCAAGGTAGGTGGAAAATAAAGTGAAGATGCTTCAAGCATCAGAGCTGAGATTCCTCTGCAGGCCATGGTGAGGACTGAGGTGAAACAAACTGTCCCCTTGGAATGCCTGAAGTCCACAGGGGATGCAGAGATCCACTCACAGCCCATGGGAAAAGTGGAGCGGGTGGGTGTTAGAGAAGCTGTGTTCCAGTGGGAGACCAGACTAGAGAGAGAGAGGGCCCTGCTTCCAGAGAGAGAGAGAGAGAGAGAGCCCTTGCTTCCAAACCAGAGCAGCCTATCTTAAAAGACTGCACCCCTTGAACAAGTGACCCACACCACATCAGTTTTGGGATGACTGTTTGCCCATAGGAGGGACCCCATGGCATAGCAGAGAAAAGGCTCCTCTCCCTGAGTGAGGAGGAAAAGATCTTGAATTACAAACAGACTAAAACCTCCATGCTCTGTCTTCCTGAACTGTCGGGAAAGAGGGAGGGGCTGGGGGAAAACAGGTGTTTTAAAGGGTTATTTTATTTCTCATCATCCTCCTCTGTTAATAATACATTTATTTTATGACTTTAAAATTGAACCTATATTGCCCTTAAAGTGTTTTGTCTCAGTCCTTATCTCAACTCACGAGCCCTTTGTTATTTTTCTCCCCTCTCCTCTGCTAAGATGTAACAAAAGTAAGCAAATTTTGTGGATATCTGGCATTTGGCCAGTGTCAAACCATGACACCCAAGAATAGAAAAGGACCAATCTGGTGTTTAAACTACCCACCAAATAGTATTGTCTGTGTTCAACATGCACGACAGCTGGGACATCATAGAGATACAAGCCCCCTGATACTTCCTACAAAATACCCTTTCCTATTTATATCACGTGTGCATGGATCATGTATTATGGATGACCTAAGCACAAGACTGGAAGCCAGACATTTACATTTACAACAGCTCACTGTTGGTTTGGGGTTGATTATTTAATGAGATTTTCTTACATACAAAAGACAAATGAGAAGCAAGCACCACCATTAATGTCAAACTGCTTTCTTCCAAAGAATCAACACTCAGCAGTAACTTAGCTTAGGCATTCCCTACCCTTCCTGCTCAACACAAGAGATGAATCCTGTTCCTGTGTATTTGGAGTGTTTTTCTCATGAATTGCAATAAAGGTAAGAAGCAGGCATCCTGTGTACAGATCAGACCCTCCCAGCTTTCCTGTTTCTCTCACTACATGGGTTCTTCTCTCAGAGAGAGCTCCTCACTGAAGGCAAAATATGCTTGAGGTAGGAACAAAGTGCACACACAGGAACTCAAGACAGACACAAAACAACAGACTGGAGACACACAAACATCTTTTTCAGGTCCATGGTAAACAAACCCAGGATACACTTCACACCTTTACCAGGTAAAAGGCAAGGGGCCCAGGAAGCAAATACTTCATCCTTCTTCTGAGGAATACCCCAGTGTGTTGACCTGTGACTTGACAGCCTATCCCAGAACTTCACAACATCTTGGATGGAGAGCAACTAAAAAACACAACTACTATCATAGTTTTATTATTAGTAAAAATGTCATCAGCTTAATGAGAGAGCTCACATGGTAAGATAAAACAAAATCTAACACAAAGTCAGCCCTGGTAGGATTTCTTTGGGCAACTTTAATGACAAGTGAAACTGGGAAAACATCAGGCAAGAGCAGCCATTCCCTAAGTCAAGAGGGGATAAAAAATACGCCAGGGACAACAATGAAGATCACTTCATTAAACAGTGTCAGCTGAATTGTCAGGAATACCCAGTTCTTTTGAACTGGGGTGGTTAGTTATCTACTAACACTGCATTCCTCTGGTGTGAAGCAAAACCCCTGTGTTCAGGCTTCATCAAGATGGGGAGGAAATGCTTCAAAAGAATCCTGGGAATGATGAGGGGGCTGAGCATGTGCTTTCACTCACACACACAACTTTCTGCTCTAGTTCAAAGCTCGGGTCACAGGCTGCTTGCCCCAGAAAATAACTACTTTTTTGCCTCCACTATAACTGAATTATGATCCTTGTTTCCTGACAAGGTCTCCTACTGCTTCCTGAAAGGCCCAGCTCAGCTAAAGACACAGCACATGCCAACTGCGCTCTGGTAGCATGAAAACATTATCCCTGAGAACCCCTTCTGCTAAATGGCAAGGACCCTCCCTTTTTCATGGCAGGCCAAGAAAATACATTCAAACCCCTCCCAAGTGAGCAGCCCACATGAAAAAGACATTTATGGCAGCTGACAGCATAACTCCTTGAGCAGTGCAGTTAATGGCATTAAAGAGGAATGCAGTTAATGCACAGAGAGAGGCTGTGCAGTGCCTTGCTGGGTAAATACAGCAGGAACAATGGAGTTTACCCAAGACCAGCTGACACAGTGTGGAAATGTGCTTCCCCACTGTTCACACTGAACATAAATACTGTGCTTAACAGCCTGGCAGTTTTTTGAGGCTGCAGAGCCTTTTTCTAGCAAAGATAAGCAGCCTAGGTTGTTTTCATGTCTTGCTGGACTGACTAAACATATACAGCTATTACGCTAGGAAATGGTGACAGCAATAGCCAGGTGAAAGGCAATTTTAAATATTACATTTAGAAGACAAAAAGACATTGTTCTCCTCTTCCTAGAAGCCAGTACTGACTTGGAGCTCAGTTTTGCTTAGAACTGTCTGATAGTGTCAAGTGTCAGGTAGTATTTCCCTGTGTGTATTGAGAAGTGACAGATCCGTTTTGCAGGAGGAACTCCAGATGCTGGAATCAGT